GATTTAAGTGAAACTAACTTTTTTATTCAGTATTTCAACATTTAAAACATTTAAAATGCATACTGTGGACTGGACAGTTCAATGTTAAAAAATCCCCAAGTTTATGTCAAGACTGAATTTCAAAATAGAATTCATTAAATAGAAAACAAAAAATAATCGAAATGTTAAAAAATCTACCTAATATCTGGAATTTAGGAATATTTATATTATTTAGATCCAAAAATAAGCTCATAACGAGTAAGAACATATCCATATGAACAATCCATAGTTGTTTGCAACCCCTTACAAATATATGTTGCCATGGAATGTAACTCAGAGATAAGTTACGTTAATAAAACTGAGAATTTTTATCTCACTCGTCAGATTTTTCCTAAAAGCACATTAAAAAAATCAGTGACCGTTTTTCAACTTGGCATGTAAATAAATGTAATTCTGTAACAAACTGTTTTTAAGTACAAGACAATAAGTAAAAACCAATTTTAACATAAAGTGTATTAGCGCTTCCGGAAAAAGTGTTAAAAGACGCCACATTTTAGTAAGCAACAAGCATTTTTTTTTTTTTTAGCCTTACAAAGCCAGGTAATAAGACACAAGAAACTCCACCCTCTAAGAGAACGCTTCTTGAAGATTAAGGCGCCAGCGGGTGAGACGCGGAAGCTAGTTCTCCCCCAACCCCGGCCAAAAAAAAAAAGGCGGGGGGGTTCCGAAACCAGGGTCGACTAACACAAGCCTTTACTAAACCACCGAATCTACAATAAAACGGAAAAAGTGGGTGACAGACTCCGGAAGCTCTCCCCTAATCCTCCAAAGACTCAATCAGCGTATTATACTCGAAGAAGGTCCCTTTGTTGAATCGTCACCAAAACAACGGAGTGTGGCAGAATATCCTTAGGGGGATCACTGTCCTTGGTGGAGGGGTCCAAGCCGCCTCGCAGCGGCTGGGTCAACGCTCGCACCAGAGCAAGAACCTCCTGAGTCACGGAGTCCCACGACCCCCACCTGCCAGAGCCTCCCGCCCTAGAGACTTCATTTTCTGCAAAGCATTCCCAAATCCGGCTCCGGCCACCCAGCCGCCCACCTCGAGGCCTAGATCGCAGACGCTCTCTGCCACGGGCCAGAGCAAGGCCTCCCAGTCCCAGTCACCACCAACCGGCGCCCCCGCTCGGCCTCGACTTCAAACCGATGAAGGATATCAGCACCACGGCTTCAGCTGCTTCTTCTTCTTGCGACCCATAACTGCGCCCTACCGACAAAGTAAAAAGGGAGGGAAACTAGCAGGAAAAACGAGGCAAAAATCGCTCACTCTTCCGACCCAACGGCCACCACCGCGTCTCACAGGAAACAGACACAAAATGGCCGACGCCCTCGTTCGCCGCTCTGCTCCCATCAGGCACTGCGGCCGGAGGCGGTGCCAGGCAGCGAAGGGTCACATGACGCAGGCCTCCTCCCTGAGTGGGGGGAGACTCGTGGCCGCTGAGGTGTGGCCGCCATCTTGTCCCTTTAAGCTGTTCCGGCCCTCGTTGGTCGTGCTTGCTGATGCCTCCGGTTTCCTTTTTTAAGGAAGCTGGCTACCGAGGTACGCCGAGACGCTCGCTAATTGGAGGAAAAAAAAAAAAACCCTGGAAAGATCATCATTGTAATTAAGGGCAGACTACAAATAAAGAATAATGAGACAGCATCCAACTTTTAATTTTTCGTTGCCCGGATTAATCCTTTCTGTAGTAAGTGTTGGGCATTTGCTTATTACATGTTAAGTTAAAGAAGTGGCAGTCTCTGCCTTGTAATACACAGATTGGTGGTAGATGAGTAAACAAGGCAGTGTGGTCAGCGCGGTGATGGGGGAAATACAAGGTGCTGCCAGACCTCTGGAGGGGAGCACCAACAAGGGTCTTGGCGGTCATTGGGGTGTCAAGAAAGGTTTTCTGAAGGGTCCGTGGGAGCAAGGGAAGTGGAAGAGAGAGAATCTCATTGAAGGAGCAACAAATGCAAGTCTTCGAGGCTGAGCGCCTGAAATACACTAATGGTGTTAGGGCTGGAGCTTATAGTGATGGGGCTGGTGGCAAGAGATAATCTTAGGGAGGAAAAAAAAAGGCGTGGGGGGGGGGAGGGAATCCAGGCTGGAAAGGAAGAAGTAAAACCGTGTTCACAGCATAATCTTGTTATGGGTTGGACTGTATCATTGTGTGTGTGTCCCCACCCCACGCAATCACCCACAAAGAAAAATTAAGTCTTAACCCCCAGTACCTCAGAATGAGACTTTTAGCGGTGAGCAAGCTGACACTCTAGTAGAGGAAACAGACAATAGACAAATGTATAATGTCAGGAGTGATAAGTGCACTGAAAAAGAACTAAACAATATAAGGGGACAGGATAGAGACTTGCTGGGATGACAACAGAGGTTTGTGTGGGATGTGTTTTGTATAGGGCATTTTCTGAGTATCTGAGGAGGTGACATTTGTGCAGAGAACTGAATGATATGAAAGAAAAAGGCCGTGCAGATATCTAGGGGCATTCCAGATGCCCCTAGATTAAAAGATGGTTTTATTGGGGGGAGCACAAATTATAAGACGGTTATATTGGGGGGAAAAAAGTCGAAGCGTTTGAAAAACACCAGGAAATGTGACCAGAACAGAGTGAGCAAGGGAGAGAATGATAGGAAATGAAGTCAGAGGGGGAGGTAGAGGCTAAATTATGAAGGCCTCTGTGCAGGGTCCTGGGATCGAGCCCCACATCGGGCTCCCTGCTCCACGGGAAGCCTGTTCTCCCTCTCCCGCTCCCCCTGCTTGTGTTCCCTCTCTCGCTGTGTCTCTCTCTCTCTCAAATAAATAAAATCTTAAAAAAAAAAAAAAAAGAATTCTAAGACCCAAGCAGGAGAATACAATATAAAATAACAGTTAAGATTATAGATTGATCAGGGTGCCTGGGTGGCTCAGTAGGTTAAGTATCTGCCTTCACCTCAGGTCATGATCCCAGGGTCCTGGATGGAGAAAAAAAAAAGAAGCCAGTAATGAGATTCCATAAGATCACCCTGTCTGCATTACTTTCTTGGCAGTAATTACATTCTGCCCTTCCCCATGTGTATACCTTGTCTCCTTCAATTGTGTTGCCAGGATAAAAAATACTAGATTGTTTTTCTATATGTGCACATATTCTAGTTCATTCTTTTTAATAGCTGCATAGTCTTCAGGTACACGTGTGTATTAGTTTCCTATTGCTGCTCTAACAAAATTAAACACAAATTTAGTGGCTTAAAACAACACAAATTTATTATAGTATAGTCCTGGAGATCAGAAGTCTGAAATGGCAGGCCTACATTCCTTCTGCAGCCTCTAGGGGAGAATCACGTATTGCCTTTTCTAGCCTCTAGAGAATGCCCAATTTGTGGTCCCAAATCACTTCTGTCTCTCTGTATCACAATTGCCTTCTTTTCTCTTGATTTCCCGTCTCCTTCTTACAGAGACTTTTAGGGTTACACTGAGGCCTACTTGGATAATCCAAGCTAATTGTCCCATTTCAAGTTCCTTAATATAATCACATCTGCAGAGTCCCTTTTGCTGTGTGAGGTAAGATACTCTCAGGTTCCAGAGATTAGGACGTGGACATCTTCACTGGGGGCTGTGGGGGGTCATTATTCTGCCTGCCACTGCATGTACCAAAAACTTACATAATCAGTACTCTATTAACCAACATTCAGACTGTAGCTAGTTTTTCATCATTATAAACCATGTTGCAAGGAATATTTTTAGACTTGTATTTTCACACTTAACATAAATGTATCCATTTGATGATGTCCTGGTGTTGCATTGATAGCCAAAGGGTATATGAATTACAATATTGATAGACACTTTCAAATTCCTTTCTAAACCATGTGCATTGAGGGCACCCAGCTGGCTCAGTTGGTAGAGCAGGCAACTCTTGATCTCAGGGTTATGAGTTCAATCCCCACACTGGATGTAGAGATTACTTTAAAAAATAAAATCTAAAAAACAAAATAAAATTAACCATGTGCATTAATTTTATTCCTATCAACTGTTAGGAAAGTGACTGCTTCTTTACACAGCCCAACACAAGGTATTACCAAACTTTCATATCTTTGCTAATCTGCCAGGTGAAAAGTAGTACAATATACTACCAATTTCACTTGAAATTGAACAGTTTACTTACATATTCTTCATTTTTATTTCTTCTGCGAACTGCCTATTGTCTTTCTTTTTTATTGATGAATGACAGCCCTTCGTCTATTATACATGTTGCAAATATTTTTCCTAGTTGGTCATTTGTGTTTTGACTTTAGGCAACACAGAAGTTCAGTTTTTACCTGGTCAGATTTATTAATCTTTTCCCATGTGGTTTCTAAGTGTTTTAAATATTTAGAAAGGCCCTCTTCAAGAATCTTCAAAATTCTCCCATGTTTTCACCTGGGAGGGGGCGCCTAGGTGGCTCAATCAGCTGGGCCTCCTACTCTTGATTTTGGCTCAAGTCATGCTCTCGGCCAAGCCCGGGGTCAGGCTCTCCACTGAGCAGGGAGTCTGCTTGTCTCCCTCTCCTTCTGTTCCTCCCCCTGCCTGTGTGTGTTCTCTCTCTTTCAAATAAATAAGTATTTAAAAATAAATAAATTTTTATATCTTTTATCAAACTGGTGCACGTGAGTGCGTGTCCACGCTCTTGAAGGGTGGTGGGAGGGCCCATTCATCCTTTTCCAGGTAGCTAGCTAATAGTACCATGTTTATTACATCTCCTAGACGTCTTAGACGATAGCCAGAGGAGAAAGGGGAGTCAAGAGACAAATGGTAAAAGATTCTGCAGGAGGTAATTCCGCGCGCCCACCAGCCCCTACCAGGAGTAAAGCTCCCCCCCCGCCCCCCTCCCGCGGGCAGCGGCTTCCTGGCCTGCGACTCCGGGAAACCGGCGGAACGCAGGTGCGCGAGGGCTGGGAGCCGCACGAGCCCGGCCTCGGAGGACTGTACGGCAGCGGGGGAGCGGTTTGGCGGGAACACAGGGCCGCTCGGAGGCCGCCGCCGCGATGCTCCCCTCCTTGCAGGAATCTCTGGATGGGGATGAAAAGGAGCTAGAGAGCAGCGAGGAGGGAGGCTCCGCGGAGGAGCGGAGACTCGAGCCGCCGTCCAGCAGCCACTACTGTCTCTACAGCTACCGCGGAAGCAGGTGCAGCGCCCACCGTCCCTGTGGCCCCGCCCGGGCCCCGCATCCCACCCCTGGCCGCTCGCAAAGGCCTTCTTCCCCTCTCCCAGCTGTATAGTCTCTGGCCCTAAGGACCCTCCTCGCCTCGCGCCGTTCTTCCGGGCCACCGTCCTGGACTTTGGCGCCCCTCCTAATCCTCTGCGCTCCAACTGTCCCTCTCGACTTTTCAGCCCCTTCCTGTCGCCCCTGCCCTTTGTTTGGCGCAGCGCCTCGTGCACTCATTAATGTCAATTTCCACCCGGTCCTTCCTGTCATTACCGCCCCACTTTCTCCCAGTAGCCCCACGCATTCACACCTCCACCCCACCCTCTGATTTATCCTCCGTTCTCGCTGCTTCCTTTTCCTCGGTCGGGGCAGACATTCCTGGGTCTCTCTTGGCCCTGGAAAGTCTGGTTTATAGAGGAAATTTCCTCGACTCTTGTGGATGTTTAGTTTAGCCTTTCCTCCACCCCTTAGACGGCCTGGAGAAGGGACTCTTGTCCGCACCGTTTCTTGGGTTTTCCCTGTCATGAGGCTCGGTAGGCAGTGGAGGATCCACGCACTCCTAACTTGCAGCATTTTCAGTTGGCTCTTCACCCCCACCCTGCTTGCCGGCGGGGAGGGGGCCATACTGCGCTTGAGTTAGAGCCCATAACTGATAGCTGTACTGCTTTTGTGGTGTGCAGATTGGCACAACAGCGAGGGGACAGTGATGATGGAAGCCCAAGCGGCACAAATGCAGAAACGCCCTCTGGTGATGATTTCAGGTAAAAACAGCTCGACCCTAACCCACGCGTGTGCTTTCATCTTCTGTGCATCTCTGTCTTGTAGGTATCAGTGGGTACCCACTTTCACTTCAGCTTTCCCCGAGTCAAACCACCAAGCCCACCTATCCCCTAGGAACCTCATCTGGATTTCCTCATTAGTCCATTCATTCAAGGCTGGGCCGATCCAAATACTGGCAGTGCCCCCTGGTGATTTAGCCAGAGGCAATCCATCTTAGTTCCTTGATTGGAACTGCATTAAGTATTCAATGTTATATGGGTATAAAGAAATCTAAAATGCTCCTTTTCCCCACCTTTAGTACCCTTTCAGAGCTCCATTGCTACACGCTGGAATGTAAACTCTAGGACAGCGTAGATTGTTGTCTCTTTGGTTCATTGATGTCTCCCTACCTGGCACCCTGAGTGATACCAGGGTAAACATTTAATACATATTTAGTAAACGAATGAATGACTGAATCTTAGCACTTGATGCGAAGTAGGGGATAATACAACAATATGTTCACTGACAGGATGATGGATGATTTAAGGAATTTTTTAGGTGTTGTAATAGCACTATGGTATTGTGAAAAGGACGTAGGGTCAGTGGATTAGGGGTCCCGGTGGAGTCATAATACTAGAGAGAATGAGCTGGAAAGATAGGACTATTTTAAACTATTTGATGAGGTAGATCATACTTGGTGACATACACACCTAGAAGCCTCCCCAGCAGGAGTCCTATAAAAAGCTTTGTCAAATCCTTAAAGAGATTCTGGCTTTTAGTAATATTCTGATTTATGAGGTGTGAATGTAGTAGTCTGCTGGTAAGGGATGTGTGTCTCATTTGTCCAGCCTCTCCTTGGTGGGTACTAATCTGCCATCGGAAGTGGAGCCAGACCTGCGTGGTTTCATTGCTAAGCGTCTTGCTAAGGGAGCAGTATTTGAAGGGCTGGGTAATGTTGCATCTGTGGAGCTGAGGTAAGTGTAAAATGTGCTGTGTCCTGGATTTTTATTTCTGAGCTGAATATGAGAAGTGTGGAGAAATTGCAAAAGATCAGCTCCTACTGGACTTGCAAAGTTGGTCTTTGTTCTCTGGCAGCCTGAGCCCTGGGTCTCACACACACACACACACACACACACACACACACACACACACTTGTGGGATGGAATTAAGTGAATGGCAGATGCTACCACCTAAGAGTACTTATTTGGTCTTGTACTTGGAAGAAAAGAGTTAATTACCAAAACTAAAAGTGTATACAGTTTGTAAAGTGCTTTCCCAAACTTTGCTCTCTACAAAGGGGCAACAGAGCAGATACTCTTACTTCCGTTTTCAGATGAGCAAATAAACTCAAAGACATTGAGGTCACACAGCTGGTCATATTGATGGAGTGCAGGCTTAATCATAGGTATCCTCTGTTGACTTCCAGCCATCTTTCCATTACACCCCTTGATTGTAGTTCACTTTAGACTATGATTTTGCCATCAAGTCCCCTCAGGAGTATGAAGCCACAGCCCAGAGATAAAGCCCCAGGATTTTTTTTTTTTTTTTAAGATTTTATTTATTTATTTGAGAGAGAGAGAATGAGAGACAGAGAGCATGAGAGGGAAGAGGTTCAGAGGGAGAAGCAGACTCCCCGCTCAGCAGGGAGCCCGATGTGGGACTCGATCCCGGGACTCCAGGACCATGACCTGAGCCGAAGGCAGTCGTTTAACCAACTGAGCCACCCAGGCGCCCCAAAGCCCCAGGATTAACATGTCACATCTGCGTTGGAGCTTCAGTGATTTGTGAAGTTTTGGGGGGAGAAAGAGAACATGTTTATATTTATGTAAACGTGGATATACTATGAACAAGAATAAAATTTGCATGAGTTTTTCACATAAGAGAGGAGAAATGCCACGTTTGAAATTCTAGGTGCTGCTTTTGCAAAAGCCCATAACAGTACATGGTAATTTTCCTCTGCTGTTAACAAGTAAACCAAGGAGAAGTCTAGGAAGTTCTGACCTAGTTTGCAATCGAACAGTATTGTCAGATGAAGATGACCAAGGTTTGGAGCAGTCCATAAAACTAGATGCATGACTTAGCAAAATAATACATTTTACTGTCTTGTCTTTTCTAGGATTCCAGAATCCCGAGTCGGTTGTTATTACTGTCTTTTCCAACAAGAAAAATTGCTTCCTGAAGCAGCAACAGTGGACTCTGAACATAACGCTTCAGAGTATGTGGTCTGTTTTTTAGGAGGGTCTGAAAAAGGACTTGAGCTATATCCTTTCTTTGGTCTTCGAGGATATCAGGAAGGAAAACACGGGATGCTAAGTGAGGGAGTATTACTACCGACTTCCCTAGGGGAGTATTACTACCCCTTCTATATTTACTTCATTTCATACCTTCATACAACCAGTTTGTCCTGGCATGTTTTAATTTAAAGTTTGCATCTGAGAGATTTTATGTTTCCTATTGAGAGATGAAACACTGTCTTGATGCATCCTTTATTGCTTCCTTAAGAACGTACTTTCAGGCTTGAATTGGACAAGTATATTCAAGGGCTGAAAAATAACATGAGCTGTGAGGTAAGATGATTGATTGAATTGGTAAGACTGAGATGATAAACACACTGTAATTGCTATGCTTAGGAAATCACACAGGTGGACACAAAGACACCCAAATGCTAAAAATACTGCTTTGTGGGCTAATAGGAAGGTGCCTGTTAAGGGAAGCAGGGAACATAGTCCTATAAGTGCTCTAAGTTTCACAAGACTCCTTCTGATGTTTTGTATCCAGGAAAAATTGAATCCATTAAATTCAGGGTATATGGTAATATGCCAAGTGAGGAAGAAGATATTCTTTTCCAGATTTCTAGGCACATAACACTTATGTGCTGGTCAGAACTAATGTCCATGAAGCCTCTGGCACCAAAGACATGCTATACAATGGTATGACTGTCCTTGAACTCAACATCAAAGATTTGTAGAAAAATTTACATTTTTAATTTATTTTTTTAACCTTTTTTTATTTTTTAAAGATTTTATTTATTTATTTGACAGAGAGACACAGCCAGAGAGGGAACACAAGCAGGGAGAGTGGGAGAGGGAGAAGCAGGCTTCCTGCAGAGCAGGGAGCCTGATGCGGGGCTCGATCCCAGGACCCCGGGATCATGACCTGAGCCGAAGGCAGACGCTTAATGACTGAGCCACCCAGGCGCCCCGAAAAATTCCATTTTTTATTAGTCGATCTTTCATGAACTAGATATATCCGTATTGATTAAATTATCTATACCTTTAAAGAACTACACTTCACCGTGTAGTAGTTGTTAAAGTCATAACTCTCCTAACGTTACTACCCATTACATGTGGTACCAATTCCTTTTACGTGTCATGTGCTTACCTTTTACTTGTCATGTGCTTACAAGATACTGCAGGACAGGAAAGGCTAGCATAGGAGTAAGCCAAGGAAATGGGTCTAGGGGAGCTGCTCTCCCAGAGCGGAGCTCTTGCAGTAGTCCCCAGTGAGCAGCACAGTCTAGAAAGCCAGATGTGCTCATGGCCGGTGCTCGTGGCAGCACGTCTGACAGCTGGAGTGGGCTGGAGGGCTTTGATGAATTAGGGTGTCCTTCTCTGACCCTATCTGAATGTGAGTGAGCTGTCTCACCCTTCAGCCATTCAGCAGGTGCTCTATAAGCTCACGCATGGGTGTTTCAGGCACTGCCAAGTGCTGGGGTGACAAGGATTATTAGAGAATATCTCCTGGGGCACTTGGCTGGCTCAGTTGGTAGAGCATACAACTCCTGATCTCGGGGTTGTGAGTTTGATCCCCACTTTAAGGGTAGAGATCACTTAAAAAGAAAATCTTAAAAAATCTCCAAGTATACACAGTATGGTAGGAGGAGATGGACATGTAAATGCCCAACTTCTTCCAGCAAAGAAATAGCATGGAACCCTACTAATTCGGTCTCTTTATTTTATGTAATACATTTCTAAGTGTGTTTTTAAGAAATTCTGTACAGGGGTGCCTGGGTGGCTCAGTCGTTAAGCATCTGCTTTCAGCTCAGGTCGTGATCTCAGGGTCCTGGGATCGAGCCCCGCGTTGGGCTCCCTGCTCCTTGGGAAGCCTGCTTCTCCCTCTCCCACTCCCCCTGCTTGTGTTCCCTCTCTTGCTGTCTCTCTCTCTGTCAAATAAATAAATTAAATCGTTAAAAAAAAAAAGAAATTCAGTACAGAATTATTCCCCACTCTGCTCAGGAAAGTTGTATCACAATTCCTTTTTTGAGTTGGTGGTGTTAGCTTAAAAAAAGGAGGTGTCTATCCTCAGTTGTTTTTTTTTTTTTAAGATTTGAGAGAGAGAGAGAGAGCACGAGCAGAGGCAGAAGCAGACTCCCCACTGAGCAGGGAGCCCAACGAGGGGCTCGACCCCAGGACCCTGGCATCATGACCTGAGCCAAAGGCAGACCCTCAACCAACTGAGCCACCCAGGCACCCCTATCCTGAGTTCTTTGCACCGTCAAGAGTATCATGAAGAAAATGTTAAGTCCACTAAAGTGAAGGCTTATATTAAAGCAGGTGACATTCTTTCTTGATCTAGGAAAGGGGCCTGGAGAACCACATAAAATCCTACCTGAGCAGCTGGTTTGAGGATGTTGTATGCCCAATCCAAAGGGTGGTTCTTCTCTTTCAGGAGAAGCTTACCTTTCTGCTACATGCCGTAAGTATTGCCCAAACAAAAGCATTTCTTTAATTGAGAGTCACCTTGGCAGAGTTTGGATTATTTAAAGACATACTCGCTTTCTCTGAACACTACTCCCCCCTCCCCTGCTGAATATTCATTCAAACTATGCTTGCAGTCAGAATAGACAAACTCTGTTTACTGAGATCTAGAAAGTTCCATTACTCAGGTAGAATTGCAAATACTAAATCTTCCTAATAGGATAAAACATTATTACCATTTTTTAAGTAGGCTCTACACCCAGCTTGAGTGGGGCTTAAACTCCTAACCCTGAGATCAAGACCTGAGCTGAGATCAAGAGTCTGACCTTTAACCAACTGAGCCAGCCAGGCACCCCGGGATAAAACATTTTAAAATAATATTTTTGAAGTGATCTGGGAGAGGCACAATTTCCAAAACAATTTGAGAAGGAAAACAAAAATCCCAAAGTGATTTTTTACTATATAAAAAGTCCAGATAGGGGCGCCTGGCTGGCCCAGTCGGTAAAGCATGCAACTCTTGATCTTGGGGTCGTAAGTTCAAGCCCCACATTGTGGGTAGAGATTACTTTTAAAAAAATGTCCAGATAAAAAATGAAAAATTCACAAAAATATCCAGACAATGGGGGAAACCTAGAGTATATGGCCAGGCTTTTATTTAAATATGTGGTGGGTAAATTCAGCTGTAACTGGATGGTCCTGTGAGACCAGGGTGGTAAAGCCAGATTTTAGGCTGTCAGTGGGCAGCTGATGAACGACGCTCTGGAGAGCTCCTGGGTAGTGCCCATCTAGAATGGTCCAGTGTGGTGGTTATTGGGGAAGCTGACGTTTACTGTTTAGTATCTGCTCAGTAAGGAAAACTAGAATCCCTGTATCAGTTAGGCTTTATTTTTCTCTCATAGGCTCTGAGTTATACTCCTGTTGAAGTTAAAGAATCAGATGAAAAAACAAAGAGAGACATTAACAGGTAAAGAAGTTTTCCTTTTTTTTTTCATAGCAAGCCTGATAATACGTTTTCAAACCCCCCACCCAGTGCAGAATGAATTTCCTTTCTCCCTCCTACCCTGCAATACTGTTTGTGGAAAAGAACCTGTGTGTGTGGCAGGTTTCTGAGTGTGGCCAGTCTTCAAGGCCTTATTCACGAAGGCACCATGACGTCCTTGTGCATGGCCATGACCGAGGAGCCACATAAATCCGTGGTCATCGATTGCAGCGGCTCCCAGCCTCAGTTCTACAATGCAGGTGAGCCACAGCCCGAGGCAGCCTTCCTGGTGGGAGTCTCTACTTTTGCACCGAGAACACATGAGACAAAGTTAGCCCTCCAGCCTTGTACATTTATCCCTGTTTATCTCACACTCACCAAAAACAGCATCAATTCTAGAACCATGGAAATCCCATCCTGCCTAGCAATTCCACTCCTATGTATATAGAGAAATTCTTGTATGTGTACATAAGGAGACAAGTACAGAAATATTCATAAAGGCATTGTTTGAAATAGCAAAAGAATGGAAGCAAATGTCTATGATCAGGAAAACTGAAAAACTGCTATATTCATACAATGGAGTCCTATATAGGAGCAAAAATGCACAGACTAGCTCAGAAGCATACTGTTTAGTGGAAGAGCCATTAAAGAAAAACACACAAAGTTTTAACATGTGTAAAGTAATACTATATAGGCCTTAGAGATTGAAAAAGAAAAGTATCTGACAAAAGTTGAAAGAAATACGTGGGAACGATAATCCTTTCTGATGGGAAAGGAGGGGGATGTGATGGGGAAGACGTACTCAGGGCTTCAGCCATTTGGTATTTCTTAGCCAGGTGGTAAGCAGACTATTTTTTTAGACCATTACAGAAAGTCTTAAATAATTCACTATACGTGGGGCGTTTGGGTGGCTCAGTCGGTTGAGCATCCAACGCTTGATTTTGGCTCAGGGCATGATCTCAGGGTCGTGAGATCAAGCCCCGTGTCTGGCTCCTCGCTCAGTGGGGAGTCTGCTTGAGATTCTCTTCCTCTCGCTCTGCCCCCCCCAATTGTGTGTGCTCGCTCTTTCTCTGTCTCTCTCTCAAAGAAATCTTTTTTTTTTTAAGATTTTATTTATTTATTTATTTATTTATTTGACAGAGAGAGAGAGAGAGACAGCAAGAGAGGGAACACGAGCAGGGGGGTGGGAGAGGGAGAAGCAGGCTTCCTGCCAAGCAGGGAGCCCGATGCAGGGCTCGATTCCAGGACCCCGGGATCATGACCTGAGCCGAAGGCAGACGCTTAATGACTGAGCCACCCAGGCGCCCCTAAATAAATAAATCTTGAAAATAATTCACTATAAGTGTTTTTACCAAGAAAAAAAATCATGATGGATACAGGTGATGTATACCTGAAACTAACAAGTTATGTGTCAATTACACTTCAGTTAAAAATAAATAAATAATGACTAGAATGAATAAATGTCTTATGCTTTGTAGGATTTTGGTTTTATTTATTTATTTTTTCTAAAATACTTCATAGGAAGCAACCGGTTTTGTGAGGACTGGATGCAGGCTTTTTTGAACAGCACTGAAGGAGGTAACCCTTTTCTTTTTCGACAAGTACTGGAGAACTTTAAACTAAAGGTAATTAATTGGCTATGTGCCAAATGCCACATTGTATCATTTTTGTCTGAATTTTAGTTAGTACCAGTGACAGAGTAAGAAATCTGCTTTACAGCTGTGATGTCTATTAAATAGGACTTCTCAAAACTAGAATCCCCAGAAGGCATTTACTTTATTTATATTTTCCAGGAGCTTCTGCATATATATCATTGCAGTTCCAATTAATTGGGTTGAATGCTTGCTTGTATCTCAGGGACATCGGTCTTCTAATTTGTGATGTATTTTAGTTGGAAAGCACCAAAAAAATGGTTCAGTGCTTAAGGGTTCAAAATTCTGATGGGGAGGAGCGTTGTTACTTTATTTAGCAGATTTTAAAAGTATTTTTACTTTATGTAAGAAATTGTGTTCTCCCAAGGGCAAAGCATATTAGCAATAAGAACGATGGAAATATTTAAAATAAAAAGCAAACATCTCGGCAACATATGTCAAGCTCTCAGCTGGATAGGAGATATTTCTCAGGCTTCGTTATTATCTCACTAAACACATATTTAACTGGGTAATCTTTTTCTAGGCCATACAAGACACAAATAATTTGAAGAGATTTATCCGACAGGCAGAAATGAATCATTACGCTTTGTTTAAATGTTACATGTTCCTGAAGAACTGTGGTAGTGGAGATATCCTTTTGAAGATTGTTAAAGTGGAACACGAAGAAATGCCTGAAGCCAAAAACGTGGTGGCTGTCCTTGAAGAATTTATGAAAGAAGCTCTTGTCCAAAGTTTTTGATCACATGTTTTGAGATCATTGTATTGTGAAGTTGTACATTCCAGCCTTGGTGTTTGAAACTGCGGTTGTTGTAATTGTCATAGGATTGCTACTGAAGATTATTTCAGACACATTCTAGAGTTCTTCATTTCGTACTTTTAAAATTTAACTTACTTAGACCTAAAAATCTGAGGACCATTTTCACTGAGTCTTAGATGTGTGTTAGAGTTGTGGAATTTTAGTGCACTGCTGGCCCCATAAATTCTAGGCCTTGGGGGTTGATGCTCAAAAATCTTGAAAGGTAATTTTGTGGCTTCTCTGAGGAGTTGGCTGCAGTAGTTAGCAATTTTTCCTCCCAGAAAAATTGTGATACTCCTTTCTCAATGTACTATAGCTTCTTTAAAAAAAAAAAAAAATGTCCTCCTAGTCTCAGGACAGATTAGCGCTGCGACACCATTTCGGAGACAGATCTGTGCATCCTGTGGGTGCTTGGATAGATTTTTTTTGTCTGATTATGGCATGGATGACAAAGCCAGCTTTTAAGTCAGTACACAGGTCATGACTGTGTAAGAAATTAAATGAGCTTTAAAAATACATACACTAGCTTCAAGACAAAACATCATCTCTGACAGAAAGCTACTGCAGAAGGGGCCGCCAGCCCCCTTCTTCATTCATTTGTTCACAGGTACCTGCCAAGAGCCTGTATTTTCTTTTCTGTTTTTCTGTTGAAAATGCTGGAGTGTTCCAACAGTGTTAAAAAAGAAAGTACACAAATTCTACAAGCAAACTGTAACATAAAGAATGCAAACAGATTCTTCATATCAGAGTTACTTACTGATTTTAGTTTTTTGTATGTATTTGTTATAAGCCTCATATTGTTTTATCCAAATCAGTTGAAAATGGAACCGTTTATAATTCCCACGGAAGCCAATTGTAGCTACTCACATGACGGCAGTTTGTTCTGCAAAGCTCTTCAATAAATCCATTTAATAATGACTTTTGGTTAGAAGATCAGAAGTCTTATTCTCACTGCCTTCAGGATGCTCAGAGGAACACAAGCCCGTAAAAATCCTCTCCTAAACTCATACATAAGTGCTGAGTTTTAACTTTGAAAATGACTGACGATGGCCTGATGCTTTCTCTTCTACAGAAGTCTGGGGACATGACTCACCAAGCCATTTCTTTTCCTTTAATGAGAAATACAATTCAGGATCTTCATAAAGGCTCTCATGTGGTTTTAAATTTTAATAACTTGGATTGTAGGCAGTGTAGAAAACAAAACCCAAATAGCATTTTTTATAGCATTAAATTCAGAATGACTATGGGAAATAAGCAATTCGAAGGCACTACCCTTGAACCTGACTTTTTCTAATGTACTTGGTTACTCATTTAGAAATCAATTTTTTTAATAGACAACATTAGGACACCAACATTTGGAGTCTAAAAAACATATTTTTCATTTTCAAATTCACATATCGTTCAACAGTCCATGATGTAAATGGCATTTTAAAGTAAATTACCTGCTTCAAGCCATTTATGGATAATAATCAAGGTAGAGTTAGCTGTTCCTTTCGTGTACTTTTATATATACATTTGTGATGCAGGATCACTACAGTGCACAGTTCTGTGCCATACTATCTTATTTTACAAGTCTGTGACTCTCTTCTAGGCAAGGAAAATGGTGACATGGAATCAAGTATCTTCTTGGCCATGAGAAGAAACCCAAAGAGCTCATGAACAGAAACATGTACTGCATTCAAATTTTAATAAGCTAATGTGTTAGTTTTTGAAGTTTTAAAAAGGATTTGTTCAGGTGTGGAATACATTTATGTATTGCTTGTGTGCTCTACACACAGAAGAAATATATGTTTGTCATGCATCAAAAATGGCCTGTTTAATTGTAATTATATTTGTGATAATAATAAACCAACTTAGCGTCTCATCAGCAGAGTCATTTTTATTTAACTAGCTCTCAAGTCTGACATTTTTATTAAGGCGTGACAAGTTTGGGGGCAGATTGTACTTGCGCTAAGGAATTTGTTGAAGAGAGTCACATCACCTGCTGGCATACACCTTTCTGCACCTTGCAGGAGGGCATCAGGCAGGGTGTGAGGGCAATTTCCATCACAATGTTTTATGCATTGTCCAGGGAAGTTACACCCAAAGAACTCAATAACCCAAGTCCCTTCCCTTCACTCTCATTATTAACGGTGACAGAATGCCTGTCCTTTACCAGAGGTGCACTATACTGGATGCTAGGAAAGCCTGCAGGCATCTGGGAAGTAAGACGAAGACCACATTTTCCCAGCCATGTATCTTCTCAGTCATGGAGATCCCACCCCCCCGCACACACAGCCCGGCGTCGATGAAGTCTTCCCACTCGGAGGTCTAAGAGAGCTGGAGAGCTCTGCAACTGCTAAACTTCCTGAATGTGTCACAAACTTCAAATCATTCTGAGCTTGCATAAATGCTAGATTCCGCAAGTCGGTGGTGATAGGGAGTGACAATGAATTCATAGCTGTGGATTTTCTTGTAAACTATTTGAGGAGGGCTGGTAAAGCAGAGATCCTGTCAAGGTAGCACAGAATGAATATTCCAAGGTCCATTACTGTGACTAATGCAGTGAGACTGGGTCATGAAACGAACGCCCTGGCCCTTCCACAGGTTTCGTGCCCTCAAAGTCCCACACAAACAGCCGAGGGGTGAGAGCATGAACTCGGGAACCACAGTGCGAATCCATCTATGCCATAAGGTACCCGGGAGTCACTACACTTCTCTAAGCCTGCCCCTTATATAAATATGGGCATATTGATACCCACTTCACACCAAGTAGCTGTGCACTAAATGAGGATAATCTGTGGAAAATGCCTTGTGCAGTGCCCAGCACATACTAAGTAATCAGTAAACTGTCTTCTAGACTGGTGATAGTTACCTTATCACCAGTAGATGTCTCACTAAGTTATTGGAAGAATGAGACTCTGGTCGGAGGGAGGAACCAGAAAAGTCAAGGGGGAAGTGATAGGAGACCAAAGCCAAACAGCTCTGGCTGTCCAGGGAGCTTGCCAGTAAGCGCCCCGGCTGTGGAGCCTGGAACTGACCGGGGGCGGGGGGGGTACACCGGGGCTCAGATAGGGTCCCGATTTTCCCTCCAGGGAAGTTACTTATCCACACATGAAACAGAAATGAGTTCTTTGACCTTGAGCCTGATCTGTACTCTCAAGTTTGTTCTGCAGCTTTTAGAAATGTTTTTCCATGACCCACAGGAAACCGATGTGACAGAACATTATGGGAAACAGCTCCCATGCTGAATTTAACAGGGTCATTTAATCCCCCAACGAAATCTAACGGTTATGAATGGCAAACCCATGTATACTGCCATCGGTTTAGAAAAGCTGGAGAAAACACTTCACTGAATTCTCAGACTGCATCCATTCAAAGCCCATTTGATTATTAAACTTACCCAGCACTACACTTTACCATTTACGCCCCTCTCGCTCTCCCCTTCTGTATGTGAACCATTTCCTCTCACCCTGAGAACATTCCTATCCCTTCCCCAAGATCCAGGTGTTGACTGCCCCTAGAAAGACCTAAAGAGTAGACTATTGGGGAAAAGGAGGAAGCTCCTAGATATTTCAAAGATCACTCCAATAATAGTAGTCAAAATATTAATCTCCCATCAGAGTCTAGGGTAACAGGAGAAAAGGAAGATGGGGTGCCCAGCAGGACAGCAGGCACAGAAGTTCTGGACCTAAAGCCATGGACCAGTTTCCTTATTCACACACCACCTCCCCACTCCACGTTGTACACAAAATCGTCTCTCCGTGCATTTTTGGAGCAAGAGAAAACACAGCTTCCATCAACCACTCAAAAGAGTTCAGTCATTGAAGAACGGTTAAGAAGCACCAGCACCAAGCACCAACTCCCGGAGCTGTGTTGTAGGCACCGCCTCCCACCTCCCCGCCCCAGACAGAGACAAAACAGGCTCCCGTGCTAGCCCTTCAGGTCACCTCCTGAGTCACCGAGGGCTTTAAAAAAAAAAAATCTTTAATGGAATCTGTGTTCAAATAATAGGTTACAACAAAAATATACAGAATGTACACAATACAAAAATATTTAGAAACAAACATTGCAGCTTGTGTTTCCTTTTGTTTCCCACTTACTCAAGTCCTTTGAGGGGGGGGTGCGGAAATTCAGCATTGGGCACTGTTTTTTTAAGGCAGAGGAGCATGGGGCTTTTTGGCCAGCCCTGGGAGCAACATGAAGGACGCCAGGAAAGGGCTTCCACTGCACCCGGGATTCTGCATTCTTTGCAAATGAAATTGGACCCTGGGGGAGGATCTGGGTTTGGTGAGCAATGACTCCCCTAATCCTCCGGGTATGAAGGGTCCTCGTGGAAATAGAGAGTCCTATTAGCTGGCAAAAATGCCTCATTAGGGAGCTTTTCCTAATTAAAAAAATGAATGACTAATGGTGTCATTAAAGCCAAATTTCTCCTTTGAAGATTTGTTTTCCCTTCCCTAGTTTCTGTGATTCCACTTCCATTTAACGAACTAGCAAATCTAGGGCTGCTTTTTGGGGAATCCCCGGCTTTCAGCTTCTGTGTCCCGTGGATGGAAGGCCAGCCACCCTCCACAGCCCCAAGAGGCACACTGGGCGGGTGGCTGTATGGGCTCAGGAAGGAGGGATGATGGGGATGGGTTGCCGGCAGGGTGCCGGGGGTGAGGGTGCGCAGACTGGCCGAGGAGAAAGCCAGACACCAAAACGGAAACCTTTCTCACCAGACAATGATCTCTGGCCCTGGTTTGGAGACCTGGGTTGTATGGAGTGACCGTGGACCCCACTGGGTGGCCCTGCTTGGAGCGGATGGTTGGGCGAGGGTGCGGAGGGGGGTGTGAAGCTGACCAAAGAACTCTGGGGTTCCTTTTGGACGCTGCTGACGGGGGACGGCTGGGGCCTGTGGCCTGAGGCTAGATGAGGCTCCGTTGGTGGTCTGAGACAAGGTGGCAAATGGGATTTCCCCTCAGGCAGTCCTTCTTGGTAGCAAGCTCCCATCTGTGGCCCTGAGGGAACTGGGTGCTTCTCTGAGGCCTTTCTAGAGTCTTCTTCTCACCACTGCGAGAGGGAGACCCCTCTCCAGGCCGCACCAGACGAAGGCGGCGGGGGGGTACTCTCCACTCCCTCCACCCACTACCCAGAATACGGGGGCGCCTGGAGGGACGCCCTGCCTCTCCGTAGGGCACCGGCTGCCTCCATTCCTCCAGGGAGGGACAGCACCACTCAGGTTGAAGGGGCTGCCGCCCATGGCCAGGGCCCCCCCTCCCATCCTTACCCAACTCCTCTCAGCCCCAGTTCCAGCTTGCTCTCCTCTCCTAGGAAGCTGACTCTCCCAGCTACACCCTT